CAGGCCGCCGGCCGCTGCGCCTGGGGCGCCATGAGAAGGACGGGGCCCAAGCCCCAAAGCAGCCCCCGAGCCAGCGGAGCTCAGGCAGCTCGTCCCAGCCGGGCGGCGTTATCCGGCGCTTCCCTCGCTGCAGCGATAGCAAAGGGGCCTGGTTTATCCACTGAAGTGAGAACTGAATTCCAGATTTAAAGCTCTGAGCCCCGTCGCTTCCTCTCCTTCACTTAAGCTGCCCCCCACAGCCAACGATTGGGTTGGTGTTTAACAGCCTGGGAAGCATCAAATAAAGGATGTCAGCAAAGCCAAGCTGATGCGAGCTGGTTGCCTGCATCCCACCGGATCCTGTCTGCTCCACCCGCAGACAGGAGGGCTCGATCCCTCCCTGGTCCACAGGGGATCTGTAGGATCCGGCCCAAGAAACACAAGAGGAGCAGCAGGGTGTCCTTGCCAGAGAGCCACGAAAATGCATCCTATTCCCCCCTTCCGGTGAAACGCCAAAAACCAGGAGCGCCGGCCGTCCTGGAGCGGGCAGGGGAGTGCTCGCCTGCGTCCAGCTAGTGCCATGTACCCCCTGCTTGCAGGAGATTGCAGAGGCGAGGGAAGGAAACGGAAAACAGGAGGTTGAGTTTTCAGGCCGCTGAGCCAACAGCATGCCCCTGCCTGCATGCGTCAGCCCTTCAGGTAAAGGGTTACATGAGCAGAGCGGAGTGACTGAGATGGACCCAGGTATAAGCGAGGGAAGCGATTGTCTGGGAAAAGAGGGTCGAGGGTGCGGGCTGAGCAAGGCAGAGAGGGCCCTGGGCAGAGCCAGGTGTGGGGTGAGCTGGATTTATTCCATGCTATAAATGCAGGTGTGAATAAAGATGAGGAAGGGGATGCCTTTTGGATCCTATAAACTGCAAGGAATGATCCTGGAGCCCGTTGGGAAAGGCACGTGCCAGCCCTTGCAAACAAACCCGGCTTTTCCAGCCCCAGCACCACTGCTGGAGTCTAATAAAGATATTTTTTTGTAGCCAGCTTACAAGTGGATCCCACGGCAAAACTTGCTGCGGCAGAGATCTGCAAGCGGTTTAGAAGATAATTACCGTTCTTTTGAGCAGCTCTATAGACCGGCTCCTTTTTTTTTTAAGTCCAAGGACAGTGTTGCAGAGCAGTCTGCGGAGAAAATTGCCTTCGAAGGAAAGAAAGGCTTCTTTTTTCCTGCACTCGGAGTGATAGGACTCTGTTCCCTTTTGCATTTGTCACAGGCAGGCCCAGTCTGGCCCAAAGGAAATGGGGAAAAAGGAGCTAAAAAGGAGGTTTTGCTGTGAGATGAAGTGATGGGTGTTACTGGGGACAATGCCTCCTGGCTCAGTGGTCTGGTGTCTGCAGTGACCATCTCCAGCCTCCTCCCAATGTAGGATTCACCCCTCCCTTCCGCTTTGCCCCCAGGTTAGCCCCACTGAGTCCCAGCAAGGGTGAGAAACACGTGGGGGGCAGCTAACCGGACAGGGGACAGCAATGCAGGTTCGCAGCACCCTGTCCCTGCTCGCTGACATGTCACTGCTGCCCCACAGTGACCTCGCTGCACCAAATTGGGTGGCATCAGGGACCATGATCAAGAGCAAACTTCCCTATTCAAGAAAGCGCTGAAATGTGTTAAGGGGTTTCCTGAATCAGGGCCCGAGTATCGGAGGGAACGGGGGTGTCGTGGGTGGGAATCAGTGTCGCACCTAGGCTCCTGGCAATTTTTTAGTGTCGGGCCCCCCTCTGCCAGAGATAATGATATTTTTGTTGCAAAAGTCTTTATCACATCTGCGGTATCAATGTCTTTAAATGGTCCATTCTCAAGCGATAGCATTGCCAGACCTGTATGTGCAATATTACAGCTTTTTGTTTTTTTGCAACTGTCTTTCTTTTTTCTTTTTTTTCAGGTCCCCTTTTTGGAGGCCGCCCGGTTCACCCATGCCTGTGTCTGGTGGGAATCTAATTTAGGCTGGCTTTTCACCCTTGAACAAGACGCCACAAAACCGGAAGCTAATGGAAATGAGCGGTTAACCTGCAGTTCTGCCCACCTGGGACGGCTGCCCCCACCTCTGCTCCTTGGTGCAGCTCCACTGGGCCAGACGGCTGCGCTTCCAAGCAGGTGAGCCCTCTCGGGCTTGGGAAGCTTTGTCCATCTCCCTCCCTTATTCCTGCACAGGTTTGGCTTCTTGCTGCGTATGAGAAAGCTGAATTGTCCCCAGTTCCTGAACCAGCAAATAACACGAGGCAGCAACAGTAAGATGGGGGGTCTCTCCTCGGGATGAGGCACGTGAAGCTGAGCAAACAGGGCAGGGTTGAAGCCACCATAGCCAACTCCAAGCAGGCTGGGTTCAGTCCAGCCAGAGACTCATTTTCCAGCATCGCTCGTGCTGGTAATTGCCCCTGATCTCTCGGCTTTCCTCCCTGAAGCCTTCGTGCGCTCTCCTTGCATTTCCCCTCTGGCGGTCGCCAGCGGGCACCAGCTGGGTTTTAGATCTCGTGGGCAATGCAGCCCCTTCAACCATATGGTGGTGGGTAAGGGCTCAAAGGGGGAACCCAGCTTCCCAAAGCAGCCTCCACCTGTCATAGCAGCAGTGACGCTCCTGTCTCACAGCTGCCTCGATTGCCCATCGCCCTGGGGCCTGACTGCACTGTCTAGAGGGGGGTAGGGGTCCACACCCCTGGGGAAGGTCCCACCAGAGAGCAGTGGTGATCACCCAGTCACTAGGGTCATTAGATCAGGACTTCAGAGACCCTAATAGTGATACCTTCCCTGCTACTGCCTTCCCTTGTAGCCATGGGCAAGTCACTTAGCCTCCATCAACTTCAGGCACCAGCCCTGGTGTGAGGATTTCAGCAATAAACATGGTAGGAGGACAACTCATCTTGGGATACAGCCATATGAGGAAAGACACAGAGAACCAAGCATGGTGTCATAGTTTGTAGGGTCGGAAGGGACCTGAACAGATCATCAAGTCTGACCCCCAGATGGTTAGCCTGGAAAAGGAGGTGAAAAGGGGCACGAGCTGCTTTCTGGTGCTCAAGGGGCTGCTATAAAGAAGAAGGCCCGTTCTCCCTTGCTGCAGGGAGCAGGACGTGAGTCTAAAGTGCCGCAGTGCAGATGGACACGAGATCTCAGGGAAACGTCCTCCCTGCCGGAGTGGCAAAACAGTGGGACAAGCTGCCCAGAGACGCTGCAGGATCCCCCTCCTTGGAGGTTTCCAGGCAGAGGCCGGAGGGGCATCTGTCTGGGATGGTTTGGGAGCAGGAGGCTGCATCTGTGCAGGGCAGGTGGGTTAGGTGGCCTACAAGAGCCCATCCAAGCTTGAGAGTCTTTGATTGAACCCGTATGGCATGACACCAGAGCTGTCATGCCATATGGAAAGCATCAGAAAAGTGCGTTCCCTTCCTTCCCTGCTGTCTCTTCCTTTCTCCCGTAAACCTCCAAGGAAGCAAGTACAAACCCAACCAAGCATTTGGAAAGCCAGGCCTGCCGGGGCAAAAGGCAGCCACGCCACCTCGAAGCCGGGGTGAAATGCGTGCCAGCAAACCTAACTGAGCAAACAAGTAGCAGGATGGAGTGTTAATTAAACCTGCACAAAACCAGATGATTTATCCTTGAGAGACCCAATGTTCTCAGTTAGTTCCAATAATTACAAGGGCTTTGTTTTTTTCCCCCGTCTTCCATCTGCTCTCCTATTCTTTCTCCTTAATTAATAGATTGTCCTTAATGGACTTAGCACTCTTTTTTAGAGCAAAAAAAAGACAACCCACTGGTAAAATGGTTTCCTGGCTCTGGATAGCGGCGTGATGCTCTCTAAATGCATCAAGCTCCAGGAAGGAGAATCGGAAATGTAAGTGCAGCACGGATTCATCCAAACAGGGTGAAAATCTTACATGCGGGGGTGTTTGCAAAGGGGCTTTTAATCCAGGGAGAAATTGGTGCTACAGGGTACATGGATGATGTGGAGGGAAGGGAGCTCGTGGCAAGGAGATAGGCACTCTGCCAGCACCTTCGGGGGTCAGGCAGCTTAGGTGTTGTTGGTAGCAGGGCTGCTGATGCTGGGGCGTTATCTATACCCAGGCATCACTGGCATGAATCAAAGCCGCCCTGAGGCTGTTCTAACCCATGCCAGCATCCGGTTTCACGCTCAGACCTGCAGCCTGTCCCTTTGTGCTCTTCGCTGCCAGATGCAATCAGCGCCTGGATCCGTTACACTGGTGATGGTGATGGTGGCAAAATGCAAAACGTGAGATCCTGGACCATGCGTGCTGGAGATCCGTGTCCCAGAGCCGGATCCCGGAGGGTGCCCGGTGATTTCAGCAGGCATCCCACTGAGTCACTGCGTGTCAAAATGCTCCAACCTGTTCTCCTAGGAAGTCTGGGTTTCAAAGGAAAAGATGCATATCCTCAGCACCACTCCTGGCCTCCGACTTTTATTTATTTGCTTATTTATTTAAGGAAAAAAATGTTGTCTTCCAAGTCAAACTTTGCAACGAGGCACTAGGCAAGCCAGAGCTGCTCTGCGGGGCGTTTTCCAGCCTACGGGACCAGTGGATGGTCCCCACTTTTATTAGCCAAGGGAGCTGGGATGATCTCTAGTCCAGCAAAGCAGGGGGGTTGCACTAGATGTCACCTCCTGAGGTCCCTCCCAACCCTCATTTCTCTTTCTAAGAGGCTCCTGGCCCTGCCCCAGCCCAGGCTGGAGGGAGGACCCAGGAGTCCTGCCCTGCAGGGTGGTTGTGCTGGCACAGGGCTCAGCTTGGCTTTGGACCCAGCTGTCTGCAGCAGAGCTGGGGGGTGGCACAGGCACAGTCCCCACAGGACCTGCCCATCCCCGGGGGTGGGCAATGCTCAGTGCCAGCCCCTCGGTCCCCTCCCTCTGGCAGCGCACCGCCCCAGGCTCTCCTGCAGTTGATCCGAAGCAAGGAGCGGACAGACACTCCAGGAGCCGGGACAGCCCCTGGGTGGCTGGATCCGGGACGCCTGGGGTCTTCAAGGAGCCTGGGCTGGGGGCTACAAGGACCACCCCCCCCTTAGTGGAGAGAAAACCCAGGGGTCCGGCTGCCCCCCACCCCACCAGCCATGTGGGCAGTGGGGATGGGCACAGTGGGCAGCGCCGGGAACAATGCATCGCTGCTGCTTCCCCCCAACGGGTCGTGTGGGGCTGGGGGGCTGCTGTGCGGGAACAGCTCGGGGCCCCCCAGCCCCCCACGCCTGGTGGATGCCTGGCTGGTGCCCCTCTGCTTCGCGGCGCTGCTGGTGCTGGGGCTGGTGGGCAACTCCCTGGTCATCTACGTTATCTCCAGGCACCAGCCGATGAGGACGGTCACCAACTTCTACATCGGTGAGTCTGGGCTGGGCACAGGGTGGGGGCACTAGGAATACCCAGCCGGGGGGGGGCCCTGAGGCTGGAGGGAGCCACAGGTCCCCCCTGAGGCTGGGCACTTGTCATAAGCTGGAAGGGGCATAGGGCTATGCCTGGGCTGGGCGCTGGAAGGGGCGTGCAGCATCCCAGGGCGGTGGCACACGGCATCCCAGAGCTGGACTGGGCAGGGGTGGAAGGGGCATGCAGCATCCTAGGGCAGTGGCACTGGGGATCCCAGACCTGGACTGGGCTGGGGGTATCCCCATGCAAGTGCCTCTCAGCTGGATTGGGAGCCCTGGGCATTCAGGAGCCAGGCAGGCAGGGATGGTGCTGGCTGCCAGCTGTTGGGAGCGCCAGGCTGAGTCCCATGCTGGGGGCATGGAGGGGTGCGGGGTGGGATGCACTGTGTGTGGCTTGCCAGGTAAGTGTGCGGGTGATGCATGGAGTTGGGTTTGTGCCCAGGCATTTGAGCAAGGCTGGGGGGGTGCAGTGGGGTGGGAGGGAGGGG